GATTATCACCTCAGAATTCAGCTACCTCTGCAGGTCTTGTTATGTCTGACCGCTCAGGTACAACTAAACGACAGAGTTCGTCACACTTGTTGATAAGACTACAAATGTCTGTAAAGGCTACACGCAGACCGCATCGTGAACCACCGTGCCCGCTTGAATTGTAGGCAACCTGTTTACCTTGCTTCATGAAATGTTGCTAAAGACCAGAAGATTTAGGATGCGAGATTCGTTTTCCCATCACCATCTCGTCTCTTCAGTTCAGTGATGGCAGACTTGTTCTCTATCTGCTGTAGGTAAGTCTGGATGAACATGAAGCTTTAGACCTTTCAACTTATTTAACCGTGATAAGATAAGCCTCAGACTGATTTCGTCCGAGCAAATAATTCTCATTGGTCAACTTTGTTGGTCCTCTTTCTTTTCAACAAGGATAATTTACCTCACTTTTAACCCGTGCTCCCCATGGCGAAGAGTCTGTCAATTAGGGTCTGTATAAACGACGTCATGATCATATCGCATCTGTCAAGTTGGATTACTGGACTCAGACGTGTTTAAGATCACGAAGTTAACCCGCCTCTGGTCGGCCAAACTTGACCTTGCAGGGCGAGGATTTTCTTGCGCTTCATGTAGTCTGGCCTATCGTTGATTTGCAGCGGCTGAACTTTTTTCATTTTTCTGTCTGCTTTTTCCTTGTACTTTCCAAGGGTCATCAGCACACAGGCCTTCACACACTGGGACATTTGTGCCCGTAGAATACAACACTGGTGAAATGTTTGCGTTAGGTGTAGCTGGGCTGCTGCTAACTGCAGGACTTCGTGCTGGTGAGTTTACACGGGATGAGCAGAAAAGCTTGGAGGCACTTCGGGCTAGCTTGTTGGGCCAAACACACAAAGCTGCTCGCAACGATATGATTCAAGTCTGCAAGGCAGCTTGTGATTCTGCTCTACTTTCTATGACTGTATCTCTTTTCGGCAATTTTTACGAAAGTTGTAGGAAATCATGTTGGAATTCATGAAAACGCCAAAAATGCTCAATCGACAGTCCAATGCATAAAGTATGGAGTTTAATGTGATACAACACATGTGAGAATGCATTTGTTAGACTCCTGAACATAAACCGCACGGTGATTGTGTCGGCATTATGAACAATCCGAGACCAAGATGGCGGCCGATTGTGGAGCACAAAGCGACAGTAAGGTCTCCGAAGTTACACAGTAACTTCGGAGTATCCAAAATCAGAAATGAAACTGAATGTTATTATAATTTCCACGGAATATTTCCAATGCACGGTTTTGGTACTTCGGGTTTACACTGGATATGCGTTGTGTGGATGGTGCAGCGCAAGCCACCTATTGTCCTTCTGTAGGTGCAGGCGTACTGTGGCTTTACCCGTGGAAGCCACGGTGATAAGCGAATCCGAAAGCGAATGCCGCCAACCAAACATATATATATATATATATATATATATATATATATATATATATATATATTGCTGTAAGTCAGTAATGGCGGGGCCTCTAAATCGGCCGTTGCCTTTTTTGCCGAACATCATTTTTACATTACCTACTTTATATATATCAGCATTGCAACATTACACTGACTGGTATTTTGTTAAATCAATTTTCACCGCGACCCTTAACTCGATCCAACATTAAATATGCGCACAATATATCGCGTCCGATCCTTGATATATTGTTTCTAGACCCAATTTTCTAATATAAGTTGAAACGAATTCTGAAGAAACATTTTTCTGAAGGCTTTTCCGTTTTCAGTGGATACAAATCCCGAAGATTAAGTCCAACCTTTTGGATCGTTGTTTGATTGATCTATGACAGTGCATCCTCATTTTTATATCCATTTATAAACTTTGTATTTTACTGGTAACCCACTTGTAAATTTACAGTTGATAATGTAAAATGCTGAAATGCACCCTTTTGGGTACCTAACGCTTACATTGACTTGACTTGAATGATCCCAAAAACCTGCGATCCTTTCTTGCTTCTGAAGAAGTGGGGGAAACCGGAGAACCTTTAGGGATGATGCACTGCGTTTGCTCACATGCTCATGTATGTATTTTACCAAGGACCTCACATTAATCTTGCTATTTTGGCTATCTGGCGAACGATTATGAATGATTGTGGTCTCTATTTGGTGGATGGGAGCCCTCATCAATAGCAAAAGGGGCTAACGGAAATGGAAGCTGTCTCCACTGGTGATAGCAGTTTTTAACAGTGTCATTTGATGGTGCATTATCGTCATACGTCTCTTTCCTTTCATCTCATGTTTGACTTCATGTGTAGCCTTTTTGGAAAGATGTGAGCAGCCGGGGAACCCATAGGGATGGCACCTTTTGCGTGCTCAAATGATCATGTGCGATCTTTCCCTTATATTCCACACTAATCTCGGCATTTTGGGCTATTTGGCGAACGGATGCACGGAGATAATAATTGTGGTCTCTACTAGGTGGATGGGGCCCTCATCAATAGCAGAAGGGGCTAACGGAAATGGAAGCTGTCTCCACTGGTGATAGCAATTTTTAACAGTGTCATCTGATGGTGCATTATCGTCATACGTCTCTTTCCTTTCATCCCATGTTTATGTGGTGTGTAGACGTCTAAGCGAAGATATTTGGTGAGTTCAACCGGCTCCATAATGCACCGCTCCTTCACGTCAGAACCTGTAGTAAGGATACAGTTGCAATTCGATAGAATGCCTGTATGTGCATGCGTCCTTACACATGCCCAACTATAACCCTCTACGATTATTGGAACTTGGTTAGGGGAGATCCTTATTGCGCGACCCTGGTATAATCCTCGTTTGTTAGTGCCTAGTTTAATTGTGCGCGATAGGGTCACCCGGGGTAAAATGGGTAATGGGGTAATCTAGGTATACGGAGAGATTAAAACCTATATTAACTAATGGGTTGTAATTGCATGAACATTTTTAGACCTTTAGTAGCTACTTTGCATAATCTGACAGCATTTTGTATTGCTGCTATAATACAAGAAGCTACTCCAACTTGTTTATGGTTGCCACATGTCTACACTAGCTGGAAAAACGTCTCTGAAAAATAACTACATGTTATTGATAAATAACTTTTTCTTCCATACTACAGATAAATCAAAGTGCACTTTAATATATTTTAATGATGGCTACTGTTTAACTTAGATTGGGGTAATCTGTATTTTAAAGGGGAACTTCACACAATTTTCTTGGAAATAGTTTTTTTGAGGTTATCTTTAACTCTCATACTCGTCAACTAGTATTATCATGTAAGTTAATAGTTTTAGACTACAGTACATACAGATTGCGCCTATAAAGAATTTCTTTTTTTGGAAAATAATCGAAGCAAGCCGTACTTCAGATTGACTAGCGAAAAGACCATTCAGCACAGAATTAGAACCTCTGTGGATACTACTCAGGCCGTTATTCCAGTCATATCAGCAGTGGAACCAGGAAGAGAAAAAACTGTAGTTGATTATGCTCCACCAAACACTTCTTATAAGTCACAGTCTGCTTCGATACTGTTGGACTATCATCGTTGAAACTTTCACAGCCGTTAATAATGAAGACGGTTTCACTGAAATGTTCGTCCTTACTTGTAGAAGTAGTAACAACAGAGCAGGTATCAGCCTTGTTTCCTAACGAAGAAAAGGAAAGAAAAGCTGATAAATCGCAGAAGACAAGTTCAACCATCCTTAACTTCCTGACAGATATGTAGCATACTGGAGAAAGTACATCTATGAGAAAAGATGTAGGTGCGTGCAATATCATCATTGAGGGCTGGTTTTCAGTTAAGTATGAAGGTCAAAAGACTGTGCACAAGTTCTTTGGACCTGTTATTGAAATACCAGACGAAGGATTGTGAACGGTGAAATTTTTTGACTAAATCACTGGTTGGATCCTACTACGTTTTTTCTAAAAAGGATGACAGTAATGAATTTTCAGCTAAAAGTTTCCCTAAAAAATGCCACAATCTGCTTGCAGTAACCCTGAACAATAGTGGTTTGACTATTAATATGTTGTCAGTGAAATGTTTCTGCCACAGACACTATTGACAAAGACCATATTATCACGATTGCATGTATTAGCGGTAGTATTGTTTCCAAAACTGCTCCTGATATCATAACTTTTGTCAAGATCATACTTTTGTATGAAATCTGTTGATACCAGCTTCATTATTTTACTAAAGTTGATGTTATTACTGGTGGAAGGTGATGCCCCCACTTTACCCCAGGCAATGTTCATTTTTCCATGGCTATGGGATAAAATGAGTATACTATGGGGAAAATGGGTATAGGGCTTACTATTTTATTGACAAAAATAAATTCACTGTCCTGCTTATGCTTAGTTATAAGCCTAATGTAAAATCTATAAAACTTTAATAACATACATTAACAATTCGCTCAGAGCTACCGCATGAAAAAGATGCCTAATTTATACCTCTTTTACCCTGGGTGACCCTACCATTTTTCTTAACTGATATTTACTTATGACGGTTAACTAGAGTTACTCATGCTGGAACGCACTCTTCGGGATTTTGCTGTTCACTGTTGGTTCTATTATTCCCTGCACGTCTAGAAAGTGTTTTACATACATTTTCACTTTACCAAAATGTCGGTTGGCGTCTCTGCAGCACCGCCCCATCAACTGTGCATGTGATCTCATGGTCTACACCTTGTCTATTGTTCCATGACGTTGTTATGTTCTTGGTTATCGTTACACTGCTTTACCCGCCCATTGGAATTACAAATATGGATTGGCCGTTGCTTTCTTATGCTGTAGTTACGTTACTTCTTGCGGTTTACTAAACAGACAATCCTTGAAATGGTTATCCTTAACTAGCAACGTGTGTATTGATGCATCTGCATTACCGGAACCTGTGTCAGCTAGCCAAGCCGGTTATTGATTGCGTTGTGAACTTAGGAACATTACTTTTCTTGAACTCTTCTTGTATCAGGACATTGATGGATTTTGAGATAGTTTCCTTTTTTGATCTCGCAGTTGGTGACAGTGAAACATCGCTTGCTGTGGCTCTTTTATGATGCTGGATGCTTGGCACGCTATCCCCTCGGGCTGACAAACCTGGCTGATTTGGAAGATGCGTTTCCGTCCCCAGTTGTCTCGAATCCTGTGGCTAATGGTTCTCAAACAAAGTCCGACTCTGATCCTTGCTACCCTTCAGCTGGCACTTCTGTTGCCTTTCGGCTCTATACTGAAGCGGTCTCTGCTAACAGAAAGCATTATGCGAATCAACACGTATACCCTTACACTTCTCTGGCTGGTTACCTTTACCGACATGATGACCACCGCGGTGCTCTGCATTATTGGTCAGAAGCTGCTCAGGTTATCGGACAGTAAGTTATTTCACACGATATCCTTTGCCTTCGTGGTGCCGATGTGTTCGCCCAAGCTGCATCATGTTTCAGTCACTGCTTACTTACTTCTGATTATCGCGTCTCGTTGAAGATATCTCCTTTCGATGCGCCACCTCGTATATTTGTGCCTTTTACCCCGCTCCTCAAACTTAAAACCATGGATTCAATTATAAACCAATTTTTCGAACTTTTGGGGTTGTAATTAAAATTCCACTGTTATGCACTTAACTAATTCGTGTCAGTTTGGCGCGTCTACCATCTCGGTGTTTTCCATTGACGCACTCTATTCATGCGTGAACTAATCCCTGTTTCACAACTGGTTGATCACACCCAGTCGAATCCAAGCACGACTAGAGGCCAAGAAAACTCAGTCACCTGGCCCTCCAAATTCGGGGTTGGAGTGAGAGTGGCTCCTTACTCTCTTAAACGGACTCTATATACCTCGCTTTCTTGTGGTTAGGTTTCTGAATCAAAGGCTTTGGTTGAGAATCGTAATCGTTCTCTGTCTAGGCCAGAGCAACCTGACACCATCTTGCCTATTTAATACAACCAACGATTTATTGATGCTCTGGTTACCGCAAAAGATAATCAACGGCGCCCTATCTGCTGCATCCAGCAGGTTATATAGTGGTGAGAACGCTACCGCTCGCACCTTCCGTCTTTCTATCCATCCTCCTGTTTTCATCCTCATCGCCTCATTCCGCTTTCGCTTTTGTACCCCTCGTTACAATCCCTATTTCTTGGTCCTCCCCATCTTGCTGCCGTAATCGCTTCTCTTCTAGTTTCGGCTCATATGCAATTGCAGGGCGTCGCTCCAGTCCCGTCGACAAAGTCCATGTTCAAATAAGCGGATAATGTTAATTCATCCGGTTCTCTTTGGAGCCCCCCATCCTCGCTAAGACTGGCATGCCTCAACGTGCGCACTTTGTTACATCTTGGCCAACAGCGGCACTTGCCCGAATACTAGAGACACTATCGATGGCTGTCTGCTATTTATCCAAAACCCACCTGCAAAACGAGCCCTGTGCCTACCCTACAGTCCCTCGCACCCGCCAATAGTGGCACTTTCTCGCTTCGTTTGTTTACAGATGGCGCAGCATTAAATACCGGTCAAGTTGGTGTGGTCATTCTTTTGGGCCCCCGAGCTGTAGCTGCCCTGATCGATTGGATCCCACTGAACAGCCGCATGGGCTCCGTCAGATTAGTTGGTGCTTTCAAAGCTTCAAAATCGTGCGGGAACAAACGTTGCCTGTTTGTCGTTGCTGCCTGCGTCCCTGCAAACTGGCGCTAATCCGATGAAAGATGACTTCCATCACCAAGTGGACGCGCTCCTTCGTTACATAAATAATACAGATACTGTGATGCTTGTTGGAGTTCGGAACTTTCATGCAGGCATTTCCCTTCACGAATTTCAATAAAGCGAGAAGAAACAACATTTTAACAGCATTTACTGAATTCATCAATTTCGAGTATTCTCGTCAGCTGTCTACATACAGTTAGTGGACAACAGTGCGATGTTAAGAGCAAAAAGTTCGAAGTGGTCGAAGGTCCTTAGGCTCACGTGACCTGTTCCGAGGAAAACGCAATCACTGGCCTCTAGGGAAGGGCTAGCGTGGTCACGAAATCCGTTTGCTTTCACAGATTTGGCTTCAGCCGCCGAATTGCTGCTGCCTCCGCAAACTGTAGTAAGCGGGGATTAGCTTGTTTGCTAACTACCCTGAAATTGCCACCTGGGTTCTGGCATTCAGCGCAGTCAAGTATGTGGCGGGCAATAGAGCTAGTCGGTAGCTCCGGACTCGTAGCGATCATGTTTCGCGAAACATGCTCTGCAATCTTCGCTGACAGCCTTCTCTCAGTTCGGCCTATATACTTGCTACCGCAAGTACAATTAAAGTGGTAAATGCATGAGGCGGTAACTTGAGAGTCCGGTCTGTTCAGGTTGGATTTACAGAGCAACCTTCTGACTTGATGCAATACCACTAGCTCAGTCGCATGGTGCACTTCTTAATTGATTGACGGAGGCGATGCCGGCATCTTCGGCCAAATTGATCTCCTTTGAACGGCAGTGTAACGAATACATTTTTCTTCGGGACATCGGTTGGTGGTTTATCTCCGAATCGTATTTTCGCGTACCGAGCTATAACTCGTGCTAGATACCCATTCTCTTGCAGTGTCAAGGTGACTCGGTTTGTTAAATCACGAACAAAACAACTAGAATCCGCAAGAATTGATTAGGCTTTCTGAATGTAGCGTTGCTTTTTCAAAATCACAACTATTGATCCGTTGTCGGGTCTCAGTATTACAAGATTTTCATTTCGCCGCAGTTCAATCGGGCATTCCCACTGATCCTTCGTAAGGATTCTGCACTTTTCAGTTTCACTGACACATTGCATCAAGTCAGAAGGTTTCTCTGTAAATCCAACCTGGACAGACCGGACTCTCAAGTTACCGCCTCATGCATTTACCACTTTAATTGTACTTGCGGTAGCAAGTATATAGGCCGAACTGAGAGAAGGCTGTCAGCGAAGATTGCAGAGCATGTTTCGCGAAACATGATCGCTACGAGTCCGGAGCTACCGACTAGCTCTATTGCCCGCCACATACTTGACTGCGCTGAATGCCAGAACCCACGTGGCAATTTCAGGGTAGTTAGCAAACAAGCTAATCCCCGCTTACTACAGTTTGCGGAGGCAGCAGCAATTCGGCGGCTGAAGCCAAATCTGTGAAAGCAAACGGATTTCGTGACCACGCTAGCCCTTCCCTAGAGGCCAGTGATTGCGTTTTCCTCGGAACAGGTCACGTGAGCCTAAGGACCTTCGACCACTTCGAACTTTTTGCTCTTAACATCGCACTGTTTTCCACTAACTGTATGTAGACAGCTGACGAGAATACGCGAAATTGATGAATTCAGTAAATGCTGTTAAAATGTTGTTTCTTCTTACTTTATTGGAGCTCGGAACATTCGAATTGGGAAATTTTTCGCTGATGAGCTTCATCTGGGCGGCCAACACGATATAGGCTCGAGCGCATGCCGGCCCGTAGCCTTAAGGTTCACAATCTCGGCTTGTACTCGGCAGCGAGGCATCAATTCAAATGACGGATGTATTGCGGTTGTCATTTATGATGCGGAGGAAGAGGAGAATCTTATTTAGTACATTGAATTTGTCTATTATCTATAATTGCTGCAGTTTTAGATAGCATTATAATCCTCCTTATTTTAAATCATTTTGACCAGTCCAAGTTTATTTTTGACAGAAAGATTTTCTTTTCTAGTATGATCACAATAGCAGGTGAAGTAGAAAATCCAAAAAGTTTTGTGTATTTTAAGAAATTATACATTAAACAGTACCAAGTATTTTCCATATTTTGGGTTAGTTTAATGTCTAAAGCGCATTGTCATATGTATTCATTTAAAATCTGATAGTTATTGCATCCACGAGTTACAAGCATCTGCCCCCTCTTTGAAGCATGCTGACGACAAATGATACCGTGACATGTAACTGGCATCCACTAAATTATTGGTAACATGATAGAGAATATTCCCATATTTTGTAAATATCCCCATGTTTTATGCTTATATTGTTGCAGTTGAATATTTTAGATTGTAACAACATTCTTTTTCTTTTTAAATGTCATTGTCTTCGGTGTATTGCAATTATTTGAATCTGTTACTTTAACACGTATCTTAAAATATTTTCTGTACAACATCTTATCACTACGATAGAAGCTGACGGTGTCCTGGAAGGGCAACATTAACATTACACCTCCGGGTGATTGACAAAACTCTGATGAAGATTATATCAATGAAGTGATTCAGGATGCTGCATCTCTTACTGATCTGTCACCGAGACAGTTACACTGGGGTTTGCTTAGCATTGCTTCACGAGTCAGTATTTACAGTCAACATGGAGGACGAGCCATCCGAAAAAAAAACCAAAAAGCTGCAATAAACTTTCAACAAAATCTTAAAAGGAAACTTGACCTAGGTTATAGAGTAAAGAAGACTTAAATCTAGGATTGCAGACTCAGAGACAATGGTCTGAATGTGCGCCGGATCCCTTAAATCATTTGAACGCTTATTTGATAACTTTATTGTTGAGCACGTGATATAATAAAATATTAGTGATATAATGTGTCATCTGTACGCCGTAACGGCGCTACGCTGCCGTGCGACCACCACCAATCGCACTCGGGCTGAGTATACCACGGGGACGCCCACCCCTGCGCGGATACGAACCCGCGCCGTAAGATTACGAGACAAGCTTGTTACCTCTAGGCTACGGGCTATTGCAGACAACTGCAGATGCCTCCTCAAAAAGTGACCACTTATTCAGTATAACCGAGGCTGAAATGCGTGCTTTTCTTGCTACTCTGTCCATATCTGGTCATAATGCATTATCTCAAATGCACACGCATTGGGATCCTGAACAAGATGCGCAGCATACAGCCATCGGACATACAATGAATCAGAACACATTTGGCACAATCATGGACTATCTCTATCTGGTATCAAATTACCATCTTCAAGCAAATGTCTAATTTGCAAAGGTTCGATCTCTTTCTTACCTTCTCATCGAAATTTTTATGAAATCCTTCCTCATTGAAGAAAATGTATGCCTGTATGAAGGCATCATACCAAATTATGGTGGTCATGGACCGAAGAAATGTATCAGAGGAAAGCCTATTAGACAAATTTTCCAGGCTCGCTGCTCGTGAAAGCCTTAACAAAGGTATACAAGCAGCGGGGGGCAGTTCAATCAAGCAGGACAGGCAAGGGCCCCATCGTCACGAAGCCCCTGGGCAAACGAAACAGGGGTATTTATGAATATGGGTGGTGGTCACTCTTCGCTTTCCTCTAATGCTACAATGAACAATGCTTGGATTTTGTGGAAAAACTCACCTGAACATGAGCAAGTGAAACATGACATGCTTTCCTTCAAACGGCCTGTCCTCAAAGTCTAGCATAAATGTTCTGCAAA